TGGACCGCAGCCCGGAAGGAAACTGAGCTCCACGTGCTGGCAGTGAGAAGAGCGTTGCACAGGACGCGGCCTCCCAGCGCATCCGCAGCTGTGTGGCTTGGGGCAAGTCACTCAGCCTCTCAGAAACCGTGTGCGAAAAAGGGGGAAATGATTCCTGTCGACCCCACCCAGTCTGTTTCTCGGGTCGTTGGGTCAAGTGAGATAGGGGAGGGGAAATTGTTTACAACAACCGCACAGCGCGAGGTTGTAGTCTGGCGCGGAATGAAGTGTCCTGGGCTAGATCTGAATCCCTTACCCATACCTCCTCCTCACCCAGGTACCCTAACGCAGGGGCTTTCAGGATCTGAGAAAGACGTCAACCGCGAGACCCGGGAGCAGCCTGGAGGCGGGGCCAACTTGTTCGCGCTCCCCTGCCCCCACCCCAGCCCCCTTCAGGCCCGAAGGACTCTATCCCCTTCCTAAGGGGGCTGGGAGCCCAGGCAGCTGCCGAAGGTGGGACAGCCTAGAGACCTGACAGGAGCTACGGGCCTTTAAGAAAGCCTCTTCCTCCTGAGGGTGGGGGAAGGGTTGAAAAATACCCCAGCAGGTCCCAAATCTCCTGGGGGCAGATAAGGGCTGGTGGACGTGCTAAGTTGCACCTGAGCCCTGAGCCTCTGGGAGGAAGTGGCTGTTAACAGGGAGGGCGAAGCCAGCCTGCCCACCTCCTCCTGGTCTTTCCTAACCAACCAGTTGTCCTGCTGTGATTCCCACTCATGGCCACCCCATGTGTGCCAAAGTAGAACTGTGCTCCGTAGGGTTTTCAGTGGCAGATCTTTCGGAAGTAGATCGCCACATCTTTCTTCTGAGGCACCTCTGGGTGGACTCGAATCCCTAACCTTTCAGTTAGCAGCCGAGTGAGTTAACCGTTTGCACCGCCTGGGGATGCAGGAGCCTTCATCAGGGAGCCGCAAACTCTCAGATTCTAACTTTGTAAGATGGGGAAACTGAGGCCCACAGACAAGCCTTGGGTAGGTGGAATGAGAGCCAAGTGCCTGAATTACGAACCATCTCTTAAGACCCTGAGTTTCAGGCCCAGGCCCTTCCCTGCTAACCTGGGTCGGTGGGCTGTCTCCCTCCCCTACCTATGTTCCTAGACAGCAACTCTCGGTCCCTCTTTTCCAGATACAGAGAGGGAAACTGAGAATGCTGGGCCTGGCAGGAACTGCTCTATGCTGATCCAACAGGATATGTGGCACCAAATCCCCAAAACCATGCCAGACCTCACCCCAACCCTCTCTAGGTAGAAGGGCAGGAGGCCAGTCAGGTGGCTTCCTCCTCTCCAAAGTGAGACGGTGGGAGGTAAAGAGAGGGAGCCTTTGCCAGATCCGCCCTGAATTTGGAGAATGTGGGGCCAGATTCCAGGCAGTCTCCGTGGTGACTCTGGGGCAGGAATGCATCTGGAAACAGGAAGTCCAGCCGGCAGGAATGCAGTATCTCAGCACAAGGCTTTGTGTATGGCTCAAAAGAACCCCCCACACTCACACACACCAACACACACATCCTCTAGGCCATGGCCCCCACACCCCTGTGCAGATGAGCAAAGCTGAGCCCAGAGCTCTCAGAGCGGCTGTGAGTTGGTGTGGGGATCCAACACGGGGGACCTCAGCATCTCCTCCCATTTGTGTTCTGCTGCCCTGAACCAGGCAGCCCTTCACCACCCAGAAGGCTTGTGGCCCCTGCGTGATCGCCCCAGTCCCTCTTTCAGCGGCGTATTAAAAACCAGTTGCCATTGTGTCGATTCCAACTGATGGCGACCCCATGTGTGTCAGAGTAGAACTATGCTCTATAGGATTTTCAGTGTTTGATTTTTCAGAAGTAGGTTGCCAGACCTTTCTTCTGAGGCACTCTGGGTGGATTCAGACCACCAACCTTTCAGTTAGTAGCTGAGCGCTTAACCTTTTGTGCCACCCAGAGACAGGAATTATTTCCCTTTGAGTGATACTTGAAGGAATGGGAGGGGCAGCGTAGCCACACCCTCACTGCTGATGTGATGGGATGAGCAGCCACCTCGGGTTCATGAGACACAGTGGCCTGGCCAACTCATGCCTCAGGCTGAGGCCAGGGATGCCCAGCTGCTTTATAGCCTCAGTGGGGAAGTCTCAGCTTCAGAAAGGGCATTTCCTGCAAGCTCAGCGCCGAGTAAGCCCTAGGGGAAGAAGGGCAAAGCCAAAGAACCTGTAGGCAGCTCCTGCCAGGCAGGAGAGGGCTTAGAGGGTCCGTGTGACCTTGCGCTGTTGGCCTGCCTTAGCCAGAGGTGTGCCCAGAAGGTTGCCTCTGGGAACACGGGCACACAGGCAGCCTCCTGGGTTCCATTCAGAGGTCCTCACTAGCTTAGGTGTCCTTGGACAGGTTACTTAATCCCCCTGTACCTCAATTTCTTTGCCTAAAAAGCAAGTATGGTAACAATACCTACTCCAGAGTTGTAAGGATTAAAAGATTTAAAACACTTAAAATGCCCCTGGCACTTCAAAAGTGCTTTAAAATGGTAGCCATTGTTATTATCTAACTATGTAACTTTGGGAAAGTCTTTCCCATCCCTAACTGAAAAAAAAAAAAACAAACTAGCTGTTGTCAAGTCAATTCCAACTCATAGCGACCTCATGTGAGTTAGAGTAGAACTCCATAGGGTTCTTAATGGCTGATTTTTCAGAAGCAGGTTGCCAGGCCTTTCTTCCAAGGTGCCTCTGGGTATGTTTAAACCACCAACCTTTCGGTTAGTAACCCAGTGCTTAACCAACTGAGGCGGCTTAGATTTGATGCTTTCTCTGGCCACTTCTAACTCTAATCTGTCATCATCTCTGAGTTATTCCCCCAAATGCAGAAAGAAGTGAACACTGGATCAGACACATTGCCATAGCACAAACAGGCAGTTTCTTGCCCCACACACACATGTCAGGGGTCAGAGGGGGTGGGTGTTCACAGCTGGCTTGGGGTGTGGTTGAGGGCAGGGATAAGAGATCAAAGACTGCCCTAAATCTTCTCTGTTGACAAACAGGTTCGGCTAATAACTCCCATCTTCCAAAGAAGTTCACTTCCAAGCTCAGGCCAATTATGTGCCTCCCAAGATGGTCTGGGGTCAGAGAGGGGGTGGGTGGGGCCCTGAGAGGAGATGTGGCCACCACAACTAAAGAACAAGGCCCCGGGAATCCGAATCCGTTCAGAACCCATTCAGCCTTGGAAAGGCATTGAAAAGCTCACTGATGCACTCATTGAACAAGTGTGCCGGCTCCCCATTTGCTCTCCTCTACTTCCTATTACCCCACTGCAGTCATTCATGTGGTTGGTTACATGTAGCCATTTGACCATACGAACAGTCCAAACCACCCTCCCAACCTGCCACTGCCCTGCTTTAAAATGTTCAAAGCGTCCCCAGTGCCTCAAGCTGACGCGCAAACCATTCAAGGTACCCTATAATTTGGCCCTATCTCCCTTTCCAGTTTTACATCATGATCCCCTTCAGTCACTGTCCTAAACTGAGCATTCCACTTGCACCCACCCCATCACTCAGAGTAATGTCTTTTCCCTCCCTCCTGTCGACGGACCCACTTTCTCCACCTGTCCAAGTCCTGTCCTTCCACACGATCGGCCCCAGAACTGAACTCACGGGGTGCTCCTGTGTGTTCCACTTTAGCCCTTAACACTCACTGCCACATATTATTTCATTCATGTCAGCTTAGCTCTGATCTCCAGGGAAGCAGGTAAAGTGCTGTATCTTTCAGTATTACCACTTGCTAGAACCCAAGTATTTGTGCAAGCATGAATTCACCTTTTGTGAGCGTTCTTCCCTGCCACAGGCTACATCTGACACTAGGTGGCGCCAGAGAGGGTATTTCATTACCGATCAGACAGTCCTGGCCCAACAGACTCCTGAGCCACAGAGAGACAGCCTTGATCTGTTCGATAAAAATAAAGTCCCGTTCTCAGGCAGTCATCCAGGCAAAAGGTGAGACAATTATATCTATCAAAGTGTAAATTATATCAACAGGTGCCTCAGGAGGCAACACAAGCAAGGTCTCCGCCAAGATTCCTTCCTAAAAGAGCCAGATAGCACACACTGCTGTCAGAGACAAGCCACAGGCACCCTCTGAAGCCCTGCTTTGATCTTCTCTGTGAAAATAAAGCTGTGGCTACTGCCCGTCCCCAGGGCTGACGGGAGAGGTGGTGGATCCGGAGCACCAGCAGCACCCGTAGGACCTTTCTGAAATGTCTTCTGGGATTAGGACTGGGGGATGGTGGGTGAATCAGACCAAAAATCCTGGGGCTGGCAGGCAACCACTGCCCACTCCCCTCTGATGCAAAAGCACCCCCAGGGTAGGCACAGGTAGCACTGGACACATGCAAGGTGTGTTTCAAAGCAACCACCAATGAAGCAAGATGTCTCCCAGGCAAGGGGTGGGAGGTCAGCCCAACCCTGGCTTGGAGTAGAGTGCCCTGGTGGCAGTGCCTGATGGTGGGGGCTCTGCTGAGGTTGTCCAGACCCCAGCCCTACCCTCCTGGGCAAGGCTAACCTGCAGCCCTCACCGAAAGTTATTTCTGGTGCTTATCTCTCCTAAACAGGCAAGACAGCTTCAGGCATGCACAGGAGGCACTCTAGGTGTCGCCCTCCTTGGACATGGCTGCAGCCTCCCTTCCTGCCCCCCTGGCACATCTAAGTCAGTAGGGTTGGCGGTGTCCACCTCAAGTCAAGTGAGGGGCAGAGAGAAAGCGAGACCAGCCCAGTGCTGGCTGGGCAGCTGATTGCCTCACCAAGATGGAGTCTCTGCGTTCTGCACCCCAGCATCCCTTTCCCCCACCCCTCCAGGCTCCCAGGGAGAAACTCATTCCTTCTAAAGTACTACGGATCACTCCAGGAAAGCGAGCATCTTTACAAAAGGGTTATGGGAAGAGCACACGACCCTCAACCTAAAAGGAATAAGCCTCTCCGATGGGAGGTCAGGGACTGGGGTACTGGGTAGGGTGGGGATTTTGAGGGAGGGGAAAATGAGAAGGAAAAAAACATGTAAATAAAGACTCTGTACCCAGTAGTAGGGAGAAGCTCATACCCAGGGGTTGGGGAAGGGAAGAAGGGGGATGGCACCTACTTTATTTTGTTCATATATATATATATTTATAGAGCTCATATTTTGAAAACTTTACACAGTGAAGACCTTTAGCCTCTCCTTCTAGATACTTATCTCCTTGTCCCACCCTTCTTACCACGTGGTACACCCAGAAACTGAATGCAGTGCCCACTGGGGACTATAGCACAGTGCCTGTCCTGCAGGGCAAAAGCTCACGAGTGTCTAGGGGAGGCCTAGGGAGGTGAGGCTGCCCTTAGCACCCACAGCCCGAGATAAGTCCCAACCTTTGGCCTCACCCAGCGAGAATGAACAGGCCTCAGGCCCCCAAACTTAGTTCACGTAACCGCCACCATCCACCATCACCCCTTCCATGCCAGTTTGCTACTGACAGGGCCCCTGGGCCGGAGGTGCCCCAGGCCTCTCAGTCAGTCAAAGGCGGGCCCTCAGGCCTGGGAGGAGCTGAGGGTGGAGGATGCAGAGTAGTGCTGGCGCGCATGCTTCTCGCAGTACAGCTCATCCCCCACCCAAAAGTGCCCGCGCATCTTCAGGTTCAGCCCGCAGTCCGCGCAGGTGTAGCAGCTGGGGTGGCGGTACCGGCCCTCCTGGATGCGCACAGCCTGGTTCCTGTAGGGGAGGGAGAGCCATTAGCCTCAGGGACAGAGAGGACCACACACCCCCAGGGGCAACCCATCTGCTTAAGGCCAGGTCCCCAACACGAATTCAGGGTGTGTGGAAGAACCAAAACCTCCCCAGAGACCTGACACTGCAAGCCTCTCCTTTCAACTACCCTCGTACACCACACACTCCACCACCCCACACACACACCCCACCGCCAGCGTGGCTAGTCAAAAGAAATGAAGTCATTCTCTACACACGAAGACTGATAAGCCAGTCCAGAGTCGCCTTGATTTTTACAGAGCAGTGGGTCAAAGTACGGTCCCAGGACCAGCAGCATAGGCATCACCTGGGAACAAGTTAGAAATGCCAATTCTTGGGCCCTACTGGCCTTCTGAATCTGAGATTCTTGGGTGGGGCCCAGCAATCCGTGTTTTCACAAGCCCTGCAGTGATACAGATGCGCGCTCCTTTGAGAGCCAGTACTGTGTATAAAACGCGTTATTTTTCAACACACACTCATTATCCCTGTGTGGCAGGAGGGCTAGGTCACATCCCGTCCTGCGGGTGAGAAAATGGAAGCCCAGACAGCTGAGGGGATTTGCCTGCAATGAGTCACCTGACCCTCACACCGGGCACTGAAGAAATTCGCTGGGGGGTGGGGGATGGGGGGTTGGGGGAGACCTTCAGCAATTTTCCAGAGAATGTGGTTGCATTATAATGCCACCCACTGAGAGAAACGAACCCACCTCTGGAAAATTTAGCCTGTTCCAAAGGGGGTGAGGGAGTGGGGAAAAGCAAGATTTTCCAGGAAGAGCTGCCTCATCTGAAGGCAGGTCTCCAGAGACTTTCTGATTATTGAGGAGAAATCAAAAGCAGGAGTACCTCTTACTCCGCTGAGGAAGGAGAAAGCAAAAGTGATAGGGAAAGAGAGGAGGGGAAGAAGGGACAGATCTGGGAGGAGGGAGGGAGGAGATGCTGCAGGAAAAAGCCAGCGCAGGCCTTCTTAAAAAAACAAAACAAAAACCAGTTGCTGTTGAGTCCGTTCCGACTCATGGTGACCCCATGTGTGTCAGAGTAGAACTGTGCTCCACAGGGTTTTCAATGGTTGTTTTTTCCAGAAGTAGATCACCAGGCCTTTCTTCTGAGTACCTCTAGGTGCAAGGGTGAAAATAAACCACCACAAAAACCACTGGGGCACATGCTCCCCTCTAGGGCCCTGGTGCCATTGGTAGGGAAGTTGTTGACTGGGTGCCCTTCCTGAGACGTCCTGTGCCCAGTGCCCGTCTTCTAGAGTGTGCCCCACGTCCCCCTGGCCTGGGCCCCTGACACTTACGTGATGCTGGTGCTGCACTTCTCACACGTGTGGAGCTTTGGGGGAGTGGCCAGGGCCCTGCCAGTGGACAGGGAGGCCTGGGGGCTCAGTGAGCTGGGCAGGAAGGCAGGCGTGCCACCTGGGAGGAGTGGGGGGCAGACACACGAGAATTCATCAACCAGCAGCGTCACCCAGGCTTATTTTATCCCCCACCTCCCTCCAAAGCACGTCCCAGGAGCCTTGTAAACAGCACACTTACACACGGTCCTCTAAAGTAACATTGGGCACGAGAAGTTGGTAATGGAAGGAAGAAGATCGTGCCAAAAACCTTGGCTGAGGCTGGTCAACCGCACAGAGCAGATTGGGGCTGCGTTTGCTCAGCTAAGGCAAACCTAAAGAGGGTCAGTACTCCACGTCTGACACATCAGGCAGAGCAGGCCTTTCCCCACCTGTGATCCCATAATGATGACATTAATAGATAATAATAATAGATAATAACAGCACCACAGTACCTTTGCACGGTTTTCAAAGGGCTTTCAGGTGCATTATTGTGCACGAGCCATGGAACAAAGCTAAAATGAAGCCCAGATTTTATTGGGCAAACACTGTCCCTATTTCTGCACCCTAGGATGTGCCAGCTCCCACGGTGAGGTCACAAGGTCTTCTAGCGTGCACTTGTGTGTTCTCCCCTCTACACCACCGCCTCCTCCCTGCGGTCTCTCCTCATGGTCTTCTGTTAGTGCCCCCAGGATCTAAACTCTAAATATCGCAGCTGGAAACAGCCACCAGTACTGGTCATTCTGCCTCTCTGGTACTTCTCCTGACCTTGTCCCAGCCTCTCCACCCCTGCCTAGATGCCACTGCCCAGGCCAGATGCTCCTCACCTCTCCCCTGCACTGGAGCAGTGCCCCCCACACACATATACAGCTGTCAGAGCAATCATTTTAAATGTCTGTGAAACCCCTTCAGCACCGTCCCCTTCCTTGTGAGCTGGGCAGGCACGGCATCAGGACCCCTTCTCTGCCCATGCTCCATACATGTCTGACCATAGGAGAAGCACACGAAATGCTGGTCGAATGAATAAATAAAGGGCTGGCCAGAGCCTGCGGTGTCTGTGTTGCTCATTTTGGCATCTCACGCACTGCCTGGCACGGCTATTTGTCTGACTCTCCCGGTTACAGGGCTCCTGAGCCTGGCATACAAGACCATCCCAGAGGGACAGAGCCTCCACTCCTGCCCTCACACTGCCAGGCCACGCTGTTTACTCTCCCCCACACCCAAAGCCCTCTTGCTGGCAGCCTCCACATTCCAGGGTCCCCCCACCACCACCTTAAGGTCACTTGTTGAAATCTTGATCTTTCTTCAAGGGACAATTCACCATCCCTCTTCTTCCCAGAAGCCCTCCCTGGAGTCCCAGCCCCATGGGCCTCCCCAGCCTCCTTCACCATCCCCCCTCACTCTCCTGACCGCAGCTGGCACTGCCACTGCCTTCTGGGTAACCCCTACTGGACTGTAGCCTCCTAAAGGCAAGCAGTGTGTCTTCTCCATGTCCAACCCTCCTCAGTGCCCAGTTCAAAAAAATGTCCAGTTGGAGCCCTGTGGTGTCCCAGAGGACACCTTTCCCTACCTGAGTCCCTCACCTCTCTCTTCAGCCTCCAAGGCTTCCTGTAATAGCCGAAAGGAGCTGGACTGCCGGGGGGCCACCCGCCCCTCACGATTTTCCTGCAGCATCTTGAAGACTTCTGAGTCCTCTTCCAGGAGGTGCCTTCCCCCTTCTGAGTCCACACTGTGGGGATGGGAGGCAGCCAGGAATGAAGGTCCCATTCCTGGGGTATTAGGACTAGCGCCAAAGGGCAAGGAGAAGAGCATGCTCAGTGGGAAAGGATTCTGGGGCTTAGAGGGGGGGCCTCCATCCCTCCCCAGGAAGCCAATGTCCCTCCTCCTTCTCCCAGGCCCTCTGAGATCCCAACCGACCCTCCAAGGCCTACCTGAGCCTGGGGCTGGAGGACTGGGGTCCTGGGGAATGCGGCAGCACCAGCACAGCCGAGTCGCCAGCGCGGCTGAGGCCAGCCTGTGGGGAGGAGAAGCAGCCAGGGGAGGAGTCAGTGGCTGGAGCCTTTGGCCAACACACCCTGGGCCGCCAAGCCCGGTGGTTCTCCAGGTCCAACACCAGAGGGCTCCAGACCCTCGCTGACCAGCAGGCCCCTACGAGTGGCCAGAGCCCTGAACCTGCCCTCAGAGCCAGGGCACCAAGGACTATTCGGTTCCAGGAGAAGGGAAGGGAAGCAAGAAGCCAGGGGAGGGAGGTCAGCTCGGAAAGAGGGGTTTGTCCCAGCTATGGACGTGTGTGGGTTCAGTGAGGGGACTGGGCAAGAGGCAGAATGAAGACTACCAGGTGATGGGATAAGCGTGGATACCATGCTTATTACTGTTACACTGTGTTATGTTATGGAATCCCTGGGTGGTGTAAATGGTTAATGTGCTTGGCTGCTAATCAAAAGGTAGGTTTGAGTCCACCATAGGCACCTCAGAAGAAAGGCCTGGAGATCTACTCGATGGCAATTTTTTTTTTTTTTTACACTATGTTAGGTTTTCGAAGATGTTTCACACTGGGGCCTAACTCCAATCTGACAGAAAAAGCAGAGAGGAAATAAGCTGACCCTTTTGCAGTGAGGAAATAGAAACATAAAGGGTAAAGCGAAAGGGCCAAGACCCCCCTTGGAGTCAGGGCCGGCTCGGCAGAGGCCCTGTCTCTATACTTGCTGGCCCCTCTCCTAAGGTGGCAGCATCTGAGCTGAGCGGCCTCTCCTGGCTGCTCTGGGAGGTTTGTCATGTCCACAGAGCCTTGGGGAGCCAAGCCTGTCTTGGGACCCACCCCCCATGCAGCAGTGCCGTCTCCCTAAGTGTGCCCTGTCCATTGAGGCTGTTACATTTGCTCTCTGCATGAAAATGTTGCCTTCACAAAGCTATAGAGATAGTAAAAAGATCAGTGGTTGCCAGGGACTTGGGGGAGGGATGAATAGGTGGAACACAGGACAATTTAAGGGCAGCGAAACTATTCCATATGATTCAGTAATGGTGGATACATGGCATCATGCATTTGTCAAAATCCATAGAACTTTTACAACACGAAGAGTGAATCCTAAGATTGACTGTGGACTTTTGTTAATCGTAATGTTTCAGTGTTGGTTCATGCATTGTAACACATGTTCCACACACATCTGAGATATTAATAATAGGGGAAACGGTGTGCAGGGGCAAGAAAGGGCATGTGGGAACTCTGTATTTTCTGCACAACTTTTCTGTACACCTAAAACTGCTCTAAAAAATGAAGTCTATTAATTAAAAAAAAAATGGTGACTTCAACTTCATGGTTGCTCCTTGAGGCCAGTTTCTGTCCTGTACCCCTACTCTGCTCCCTTCTAGGCTGCAATCCCCAACAGGACTAAGCCTGAGGAGACTGCAGCAGCCAGTGGAAGGGGAGAGCCTAGGAGACATCCGGTCCCACACGCCAAAACCAAGCAGGCTGGGTGTGCAAGCTTGAGGGCACAATTGCCTGGGAAGCCAAATTCCCTCAATGCCCAGTAATTTTAAGCATTATTTTAAAATGCAAAGTCATGGATGAATTATGGGGTAGAATGAAAAAATTACATGATTCTTCAGCTAAAAGAGGAAGCTTCCAAGATTCTTGAGAAGACAGCCCTAGACCCTCACCCCACCGGCCCTTCTTCTATCAGTTCACATTCCTTTGCTCTTGGGCTTCTGTGGTAAAGAGTTGTAAGATAAGGAGACTGAGGGTCAGAGGAGAGTCGGAGGCAGGGCTAGAACCCCAAGCCCTGGCTCCTGGATGCCTGCCTGGGGCTGTGCTGTCAACTGACGGATGGTGATATAGTTTCCTTAGGAAGCACGGCCAGCTCCACACTCAAGAATTATGTCACATCTCACTGTCCTAGGAGGTCAGCATGTGCCCTTTAACACTTGTTGTTGAAAAGTTCCTTTCAACAAGCCAAGTCCTTGTGCCAATCCAGAGGAAAAGTGTTTTTTCTTTTTTTTTTTTAAACCTTGCATCTGCTCACCAAGGAGGGTGCCTACCTGGAAGGGCAGCTTCTAATTCCCAGAAAGGCACCACATGGGTTGGGATGCCCTGTGCCTTGGGACCCCTGTAGCCTCAGCCAGCCCAGGACCCATCAGGAGGGCCATGACCACCACAGAGGTGGAGCCGCACCTCATCCACCATCACCTCTTCCCCCTGCAGCCCACAGCCCATCCTCACGTGTGCCCCTGCCTCACTTTCTGCCCGACCACCATGCCCTGCTGGAGGAGCCCACCTCCCTTACTTGGAGAGGCTTCCACTTTCTCCTCCCTCCCTCCCAGTGAGGGAGGGGCAGCTGCCCTCACAGACGGGACCAGTCATCTCCAAATCCAGAATTGCTGCTCCCTTCTCACCTGCCCCTCAAGAATTGGCTGTATCCAATGCCTCTCCAAAGATGTTCTGGGAAACATAAGTTCCTTGGGATGTTAACAAGTGAGTGTGTGGGGTGGGACAGGGGTGTCAGGAGAAGTTCTATGGTCAAAGGAGTTTGGGAAATTGACAAAATTAAGTAGGTTTCTTTCTCAGGGGACTTCTTATGCCTTTAAAATGCTGAAGTGCACAGTGAGTCTCAAGAGGGGCTCTAGGACCTGTGACTCCACGCCCACTTAACCACAGCCCCATTTGTTGGCCAGAATGTAAACTCTGAGGGTTAGCGATGTGTCTGTTTTTCCACTCAAGTATCTCCAGAGCCTAGAAGCCTGCCTGGAACAAAACAGATGCTCACTAAATATTTGTTGAAGGAATGAGGAAATAACCAGGGTTCTCGGGGTCAAGGGAGGGAACTCAGAGCACCTAGTCCGACTCTGAGGTCCAGAGAGGAAAAGCAGCTCGTCCAAGGTGACATAGGTGGGACTGGCCTAGGTGTCCCTAGCATCCAGCCTGTGCTCCTCCTCACACTACAGCGGTGGTTCTCAAACCTTAGCCTGCATCCGCTTCACCCGGATGGCTTATTAAAAGAGATGGTTGGCCCCAGCCCCAGAGTTTCTGATGCCATGGGGCTGTGGTGGGGCCAGAGATTTTGGCATTCCTAACAACTTTCCAGGTGATGCTGCTGGTTTGAGAACCACTTCCCCATACCATGCTGTATCTCCCCTTTGCTAGTCTTGGGGAAATCACAAGGAAGGTGCCCAGGAAGGCATTTCCTTGAGTATGTGGTCTCACTAAGACTGCCCCAGGAGCCTTTGCTGAAGCAGACCAGGATGGATTGCCTCTCCCCAGCTATTCCTGCTGGTCTCAGCCAAAGCTCTCTTTGAGAGCCTTTCCCACAACCCTACCCCAGCGCCTAAACACTCCAGGTCTTGCCTGGAGTCCCCATCTGTGGGACTACTGTGTCCCCATCTCCCAGAGTGTCCATCCTCGTCATTCTCTTATCTAAATCCTACCCTGTTCTACCTTCAATGTCCAGCAAAATTTCTGACAAATCTTTCCCAGACCACCCAGCCCACACTCATCTCTCCCCTCCCAGAATGCCTCCAGCTTTTATAATTAATACCACACTGTTTAGCGCTTAGTTGTTCCAAATTTGTTTTGCATGTTTGTCTTATCTCCACAACTACATTTTAATTTATTTAAAGAGAGGGATCTCCTCTAAGACGTCTCTGTACCCCACAGTACCTGGAAGATTGCCTGGTGGGCACACAGCAGGTCACCAGGGCGCTCCTACTGCGCAGCCCCCAGAGAATCCTGTTCCTTCCTTCTCCAGCCCCCCACCCCCGTTTCCAGTACCCTTCCCGCCCGCCCCCAAAGGCTCTCTCTCTGGAATGCAGAATCAACCCTGAGGTAGCATTCCAGCAGCTGGGCCTCATCCTCTTCCCCCGGATGGATGGATGGACACCCCCTCTGCCCCCAGCAGCTGTGGCCCAGCACTGTTGGGGGGTGCCTCACTCCCTCACCCCCCACCCCTGATCTTGGTGAGAAGAAATACCTCCAAGGGGGTTAGGCTGTCACTAGCAGACAGCGGGACCTGAGGGTTTCAGGGAGAAGGGGCAAGGGCAACAGACAGAGAATAAGCCAAGTACCACTTGAGGCAGAACCACAGTCCAGCTGGTGGTTCTGGGGCCAAGTAAGGAGGAAGCAGAGGGATGGGGTGTTGGGAGATGGGGGCAGGCATGGCGCTTGAAATGGGAAGGAATGTGTTCAAGAGATGCAGCCAGAGCCAACAGGGAATCATCCCAACAACAGCAGCAGAACTATTTCAGCCCCAGCCCAAGAGAAACACACTGCTACGGGGAGGACGCCAGCAGGAACGGGGAGGAGGTAGGAGGGGGAGGCGGTGGCAGGGGAGTGCCGGAGGTGGAAGGCCACCTGGGACTGGCAGGGCATGACCCACCACCAGAAGCAATGGTCTCCCTGGCTCAGGAGAGGAGAGCACTGTCACTAGGAGATGGAAGCACTGGCTGCCCAGGGGCCCAGGTGGGACTGGCCACCTGCCTGCAGCCCCGGGGGGCACTACCAGCTGGGAATGGGAGGTACTTAGTTTCTCTGACTCTCTCCTTCCCTTGGGTCTGCTCACCTGTCGGCTTCCAGGGCGGCCCCCGTAGGACAAGTGGTCAGCAGCAGGTCCCGGGGTGAGTGCCAGGCTCTGGAAACTGAAATGGGGGAATGGACATTGTGTGTGCCAGGGGCCCCACCGAGCCTGTCCAGGAGAGAAGAGGGTGCTGCCAGGACCCCCTTAACATAGCTACTGAGACTTTGAGCCGCCCAGCCCAGAGCTAGTAGCCCAGGTGGCCAGGTGCCCGCCCCCTTCACTCACCTGCGGCTGATCACCCCCTCTCCAGTAAGGGTATGCGGGCTGGTAGCGGGTCGGGGAGAGAAGGGGCTGCCAGGCCTGGGGCTGAGGGAGGCTGGGCTGGAGTAGGAGGACCGCAGGGAGGACTGGCTGTCAGTGTGTGTCCTTACAGAGCCCTGTGGAGAGAGGGGCCAGGAGAGCTGGGCTGCTCCACCCTGAACGGGCCCTGCGGCTCCCAGCTGGCAAGATAGGACAAGACAAGACATCTTACCTGGAAGCGAGTAGCTAGCAATTCCAAGGACCTCTCCCCGTTGGTCTCCCCAAACGAGGCAGCCCGGGACCTGAGGAGGTAGCCAAGAGAGGAGAGTATCATGCTAAGCTGGTAGGCGCTGTGGAGTTCATAGGCACATTGTCCCCAGACTGGGACCTCAAGACCAGTAAAATGTCCAAATAATTAGAACATTCGGTTGTCAACTTTTAACTTTGCCAAATTCAAAACAAACAACTATCATCATCTACCATTATTTCTTAAAATAAGGGACAGTTTAGCACTGGAAAGTAAGAAAGTAGGAAGGACATAAGTTCAGAAAAAGTCATTTAAATTCAATAAATTTAATTTTATTAAAAACTCTTTATATCATCCCCCCTCCTTTTTTTCTTTTCTTTCTTTTTTTTTTTTCCATTTCAGCTAGACTTTGTCACTGGCTAGCAGTTTGTAAGTCAGTTTTGGGGGAGAGTGTTGATTGTATACAACCCCTTGTATTCTACCCATGGAGAAACTGAGGCCCAGGGAGGGAGAGGGAGTTGCCCAAAGTCCTAAAGCTAGTCAGTGGCTGGTCCAGTTGCTCACTCTTCCCCAACCAGAAGCTTGGCCACTCATGCATGGCTGGAGTACTTTTGAGAGGGTCACTCGCTGTCCCTTGCATAGGCTTTTCCCCCACAAAACAAAGGGTAGAACCTACCCCACTTCCCTCCCAGGCAGGCAGCTGAACGACCAGCTCTGGAGTGTCAGGACCACAGGCAGGCCCAGCTTGCCCCTCCTCCACCCCAATCACAGCCCACAGGGACAGAAGCTCCCCACTCCAGCTCCTCAGGGGCCCCTTTCCAAGGCCCTTCCCAGCTGAGCCAGGCTGGAGCCATGAACCAGAGGCCATCAGAGGGCCAGGGGCTGCCAGAGTGTGAGAGGGAGCCCGCCAAGTCCCATCATCACTACATCATTCCTGAATGTCTGGTTGCTTCTAGAGAAGTTAGCAGGAGCCCTGGCCTCCCCAGGGAGGGCTGTCGGGTCAGTCTGAGGGGAGCTCTGGCTCTGGCTCCAGCCCAGAGCGCTGCTTCCTGCCACAGGGCTTCTGAAGGCCTGGAAGGTCTCCTGGGAGCTGGGATGGGGGTCTTGGCATGAGAAAGAAGTGACAGAGCCTTGACTAGCCAGGTGTGGAGCTGGAGGCAGGGGGTATTTGGCTAGGCCTACCTCCCTGACCCCCTAGCTCCCTCTGAGAGGAACCTGAGAGGAAGGGCTGTTGTCAGCAATTCCCACCCCTCCCCCGCCCCAGACTGTCAATTTTGGTCCCATTCCCAGATGCCATGAGGTACTTTCCACCCTCCTCCTCTGGATCCCACTCCTGCAAACACTCGTGGTCCAGATGGCATGAAGAAGTCACTACAGGGGCCGGGGCTGCAACAGCGTCCTGACCACCGGCTCCTATAGCACCACCACGGTGCCAGGGCAGTGGGCAAGGAAAGGACATGGAGACAGAGCTGGAGAGACCCTGGTGGGGAGTGGGGGTGGCAGGGAGGCAAGAGGTATCTGACTCAGGTTCAAGGCCCGCCCAGAGGGCTCTCCTAGCTGAGGGATCTGCTAGCATTCCTGACCTGTGACTGTTGGGAGTCACACCCTAGGGAGCCACTTGTTCTCCCCCGCAACCCCGCAACTCTTGCCTCCAGGCTCAAAACCCCACAAGCTGAGGAATCTGTGTTCACCAGTAGGGCCCAGAGTGGAGGTGGGGAAGGATGGACGGGCTCTTTGGGGAATGATGTCCCCAGAACTACTGACCCCCACCTGGGATCTAAACAAAGTCCATCCCCTCTTGGAGGCAGGGGTCCTGGAGACCTAGCACAGGACACACCTTACCCAGAAGTTTCCCCTCTTCAACCTACTTGATGCCCATGCCCTGCACCCTTCATACTCTTGGGAACCAGTCAAACCTGGGCTTCCAGGTGGCTGCTGCCAGCCCGCCCTGCCCTGCCTGTGGCTGCATGCCCATCCTGGTGCCCACCTTCAGCCAGCTGGGCACAGGGTCCCCCCTCAGCCCAGCCCGTGTCCCTCTCCCCTGTGCAGATGTGCAGAAAGGGCCAGGGAAGGCCAGTTTGGAGCTGCTCTCTAGGCTGTGGGCAGTGAGTCAGGGCGGCTGCCTTGGCAGTGAGCTGGCAGAGAAGAGAGAGACTGCTGGGAGGCCCAGGGGGAGGTGAGGGTCCTACCGGTCCAGCTGCAGCCGCAGGGGCGAGGGGCTCTGGCGGATCTTGCTGTGGGCCTCAGCGTGAAGCATGCCCTCCACGCTCTCCCCATTAATGGCCACAATAATGTCACCAGGTCGCAGGTCAGCAGCTTCGGCCTTGCCCCGCTCGGTTACCTTTAGGGGTTGAGGAGCTGGTGAGTCTATGGTACCCATGCTCAGACCCTGGGGTGGGGTGAGGGATGGAGGAGAGGAGATTTCCCTCCTTCCTGCCCAAGAAACACAAAAGCTTGCTTGGACTAAGCTGGTCAGCCTCCCGTTTTAATGTCCCTCTCCCTGCCCCAGTCATCCCCTATCCCAGGACAACTTCTCAGTCAGGCCTTGCTCTCAGTCAGCCATCAGCTAATCCCCTCCAAAAGCTGGAGTGGCAGCCCCACCCCACCCCTGGAGCACTGCCATCCTAATGGGGGCCTCCCAAAGAATGTGTAATGGCAGGATTTCAGGAACTGTGATTGGAAATACTTTGGATACAGAGCCCTGCCTGTGCAGATCACACCTTGCAGGTGGCTGCCTGCATGCCAGGCCCTCCCAGTGAACACTCCGCAGCCGAGGCCCAGGCCTGGGTCAAGAGGAAACTGCTGAGAACTCAGGGGCTGTTGTTCTAGTAACCACCCAAAATGGCTGCCAGCAGGTGTGTGGTTAGTGACCCAGGAGAAAAAAGGCTCTGCACTTAAAGCCTGTTCCTGAAGTGGCTGTCATGTCCCCATGGTAACAGGGCCTGGCACTCCCCTCATCCCCTCCACACCAACACTCCCAGAAGCAGGCCTCTAGCTCCAGAACGAAAAAGAAAGATGTCTGTGAGGATCAGAGTGGACAGAGCAGACCCTAACTTTTGGAGTCACCTCTTTGTCTCCTAGAACTAGCCCTTACCTTGGTCACCATGATGGGTGTGTGGAAATCCCTGCCCCCTGTGATGCGGAAGCCCCAGGGTGCCGGCCCCACCACGTCCACTGTCAGCGCCATACCTGAGGAAGAGAGGATCAAGAGGTGGAGACTGCCCGCCCCCCACCCCAAGAAATGCTGGAAGGGGGCAGAAGAGAGGCAAAGGGCAAAGAAGAGGGGATGACATGTCCAGAGCAGCTAGTCAGGGCTGGGGATGGGTAGGGTGAGTAGCGGAAGTGACTAAATCCCTCCCTCACCCCCAGCTTCACTTCCCCCCACCCTGGAAAGCCTTGAGTCTGAGTTCCCCCTTCCTGTGGTCTTCCGCAGAGCGGCTCCCAAGAGGCAGGCTGTCCAGGGTGCCAGACTGGGACTTGCTGGAGATGGGTGGGCAGGGGCTGGCAAGTGGTAGGAGGTGTCAGCACTTCCTCCCTCTCCCCCTCCTTCACCATCAGAGCTGTTAAGTCCCACTAGTGCTTGCTTCCTGTCCCCAAAACCCACAGCACAAGGTACTTCCTCCCCGCTCTGGGGGAGGGCAGGCGGGCAGCCTGGGGAGTGCAGGGCTCTGGGAACAGGAGTGACAGCAAGGAAGGGGTGGTGCCGCCACAGACTGTAAGAAGCCAGCTGGGCAGGGGGCTGGCTGAGTAGAGGGTCTTCAGAGGCGCCTCCTGGCTGCTGCCAGGCCCTGGCAATGTGGATCAGGTGGGCAAGGCTTCACCAGGGGCCTGCTGCCCTCTGAAGAGCCCCAGCAAGAGAACAGGACTCATCTGCCAAGCTGGGCACACCCACCCCCTGCTGATGGGCAGCTAGGGCAAGCTGATGCCCCACCCCCACCCCAGCCAGGGAGCCGGGTGATGCTGCCTGCCAGCTGGGGCCACAGGCCTCCCATCCACGACCCCCTCCACTAGGCAAGGGAGTGTCCTTGCAGACCAGGCCCTAGTAGGATTTCCTGAGCCTCAAGTTCTGGAGCCAGGAGCCAACCCAGGCAGGAAGCTGCAGTGCCAGGCTAAGCCACCACCCTGCCCAGCACCCACCCGGGGGCTGCCCCTGGGGAGGCCGAGAGACGGCAAGTGCTGCCTGAATCTATCGAGGACGCCAGGGCCACTTCCTGCGTTTAGGATCCTGGGGAGGGGACACCTAGGCAAAAGCATCTGTTTCCCCTTTTGCCCAGGGCCCCCAGGTCAGGCTCGCAGACACCCTGAGACTCGCAGACCTTTGAGCCGGCCAGTGGACTCCACGCTGCGGGGGCCACGGGGAGCTGCCCAGCCCTTCGGCCCTCCGAGTTCTGGAGCCTCGTACGCTCTGAGGCCAAAGTACCCACGGGCCAGGGACCAGAGGAGTAGCACCCGGGTCGGGCCGCCAACACTGAGGCGAGACTGCAGGGAGAAGGGCTGTGGGCGATGAATAGGGTCCGAGGCGAGAGCGGAGCTCAGAGGGAGACCTGGGCGCGGAGCTCTGCAGCGGAGCCGGGGGCGTAGGAAGCCTTGCAGCCGGAGGCTGGGCTGGGAGGTTGCCGGCCGAGTGGAGGGTGCGCAGGTGGGCGCGCTCACCTGGCTCCCGCTCACCTGTCGGGCTGGGCGGCCAGGCCCAGGAGGGAAGGGAAGGAGGGAGGGCGAGGAGACGCTGCTGCTCCCGCAGCTGCCACCACCGCCGCCGCCGCCGCCGCCGCCGCCGCTGTCTGCCCGACTCTGGGGAGAGCCCGCCCGGGGCTCCGGGACCTGCCTCCGCCCATGTGATCCCGGGGCCGCCCCTGCCACCGCCCCTGGCCAGGGAAGCCTCCTCCTCCGCGCAGCCAAGCCCGAGCGCTGCCCCCTGGCCCGCGCCCCGCGGCGGGGGTGCTCTCTGGAGCCCCCTATATACTGCGGTCGCCCTCCAGGAGGTGCCCCATCCTTCCGACTACCCTTCCTGAGTGCAAGGGAAGCGGTCTAGTGACAGGTTCACTTCCCACCTCGCAGACAGTGGAGGCTGCTGTCCTCCAAAGCTCTCCCCGGCCAACAGAGTTCCACACCCCCCTTCAAAGAGTCCCTCGAGCACCCCCATCAAGGTCCAGGGCGGGGGAGGGCTGGCTGGGTCTGTCTGCGGTGCGCCTGGCTCCTCCGCCCACTCCAAGCTCAGATGCTGGCGCAGATGCAGCCTGGACACCCACAAGTCCCAAACCAGGGGCCGCCCTCCTCAACTCCCTGCCTGAACTGCTGGCGCCCTCCCTTGGCGGTGGCCGCAGACTGCTGCAGCTCTCCCGGCAGCGCAGAGCTTCCCGTGCTGGGGGACCCAGGCGGTTGTCCTGGGCCGTCCGGGCTTGAGATTTCCCCCAGTCTGCTCCGCAGGGCGACCCCTGTGGGCCCAGGAGGAGATGAAAGGAGACTCCTGGCTGAGGTTACCGCGCCCTCCTGTGCTACACACTTCTCTCACTATTCTGGGCTAATGCTTTTCCCATTCCTGACTGCCCTTACCTGACCCCCTCTGCCGCCCTACTTGGTGTGGGTCAGCCCAACAATCACCGCTGGCCCTGCCCTCTACACCGTCGGCGCACCACCTGGAACCCAGGCTCTAGGGATCAGGAGAGGACAGCCATGGATATGGTCCCAGGTGCCAGCTCAGGAATGTGGAATCATCTATCAAATGATTCCTGAGAGTCATCACTGGCAGCCCTGGGGACCTCAGGGCCCACCAGAACTTGTCCTTGCATCTCCCATTGGTCTGGACTTCATCATTTCTCTGCCAGGGGAGCACACCTGTGGGCACAACTGTAACTTGCCTGCCTCAGCTGTGAGTCATCCCAAGTTCTCTCTGCAGGAGTGTCCTCACCACCCCTCTCCACCTACCCATGCCTGGCCTGTGTTTGGTCCTCCCTGGACTCACAGCCAGCCACCTCCAGCCCCAGCTACCTCCCACAGCTTCTGTCCTTGGTGTGAGTAAATCACTCTCACAGTAACTATATAATCCTGAGCCTCTTACTACCACCTCTGTTCCTGATGTACCTGTTCTACCTCCCCAACTAGACCAGATGCCCCTTAAGGGAGCAGGAAACTGCAGGTGGGACTAGCACAGCCTCAAGTTCACACAGACCTAGCCTCAAATGCCAGATCTGCCTCTTCCTGCCTCTGCAATCTCAGGCAATTTCCATAGCTCTTCTGGGCCTCAGTTTCCCTATGTGTAAAATGGGGATAATGCATAGCTTACCCTCCTGTTACGGAGATTGCCTTCCCATATAAAGCTGCTGGCACACAGAGGTTTACTCTGAGGACAGAGTTCTTGTTTGGGTCACTGCTCCATTCCCAGAGCCTAGTACAGTGCCGGGCACATAGTAGGCACACAAAAAATATTTGTGGAATGAATATTATTTGAATGATTGAATGGATGAATTTCTTTTCCCCCTCCCATTTATGGCAGGGACTCTGTTTTACACCTGTTTGCACTCCTGACTTTGCCTTGGACGGTCTCAAGAAAAACGTCTATAGGTTAATCTGCCAAGTTTTCTGCTGGATGGATTGTGCACTCACAAAACCCACAATAAAGAGAGGATGGCCCTATGGAACACAAGACAGTACCGTCCTGCTCTAAGCAATTCTGTGGGCCTGGGCAAATCACTCACCTCATCCCTATAATGAACAATTCCCGGTGGCCTACGGGCCTTTCTAGCTCCCTGACTCCTCTGGCAGACAAGCCAGGAAGCCAGGTGTCCATGGCTCCCCTCACCCCTCAAGGCTCTGATCCTCCCTCCCCAGGCCTTCTTACCAGGTCAAGTCACAGGCAGCCTGGGGTGTAGAGTTTGTTGACTGCAGAGGTTTCAGGGCCCCATCAAATAGAGGGCTTGGTTTCTGCCTCAGGGAAAGGAAGTCTCAACCCTCATATCTTTTATGAGGGCATCAGGGAATGTGAAAGGGGCTGAGATGGGGGATCATAAACAGGTCGGCAGATTCCTGAGGAAGTGTCCTTTCCAGTCTTGGATGGGCTGGACCTGACAACTTAGAACCAGCCCATGCTGAGGACTGGGGTGGGTGGACTGGATGGAGGAAAGGAGTGCACCCAGGTCTTGTTCTTCAAGCTGCTGTTTAACCACTACACAGGCCCCCTGGCCGCACCCAGGCTCAAGGAACCTGCCAGAGCCAGGACACTGCCTTGTCATCACCGGCCCCTCCCACCTCTGTCCTGACTGAACCACCACCCTTCACATTAGCCATCACCTCTTCCCACCCACCTGGGGTGGGGGCACCTTCAGTGACAGGCCTAGAAGACAGGATTTCCAGGAAGAACATAAAAACAGTCATGACAAAGAGCCCAACCCCGGGCCTCCCCAGCAAAGTCCCTGACCTCATGGCCTTCCTTCTTCAGTGGCCTCTGGATAAGGACTGCAGGGGCACTTGGTAGGTTTCATGCAGAGAGGTGGCAACAGTTAATAGGCCTGAGTTTAGATCCTGACTTCACCATTTAATATGTATGTGACCTAGACAGCTTAATTTCTCAGAGCCTTAGTCTCTCCTTCTGTAAAATGGAATCATAAAGCCTCACTGTTGTGATGCTTACGTTAGATAACACATACTCGACCTTGTAACCTAGTATGCCATACTCAGCTCACAGCTGAGGAACCGAGGCTTCCTTCCTTGGTGGTGCAGCCAGGCCCAGACTGGCCCAGCCAGCCCCCACTCCTCACAGAAACCACCAAGCCCTGGGAAATCTACAACCTTGGGCCAGAAGAGTCGCTTTGGCTAGCCACGACCCACCACTCCCAGCTTCCCGCAATCAATTGCTCAAAAACTCAAGCTCAAAGTAGGAAAAACAAAACAAAAACAAACACACGAGAGCTTCAGTGTGGAAATAAAGCACACAGAAGGAAAACATTAGCAGCAGAACAGTTATAAATGCCATTTAGCTCAGCAACCCCACGGCTGCTCCAGAATCAAAACAGCCTGCAAACAAGGCCACATTCAGCTCTGTCTCTGGTTTCTCCCCACAGTCAGGCCTTGCCCTGGTCCTGTGACACTCTCTGCTCAGTACTGTTTGTCAGACAGCTGCCCAGTCTTTGGGTCTTCCTGATTCTGCCGGAGGCCTGAGCTGAGATCTTTAGATATTAGTGCTGCTTTGTCACCCTGCCCATCCCACACACACACCTGTTTCCCAGCACAGTCCACTGCAGAAAGAATTCCATAATCCCAGGCCATACGAGGCCTTTCCCACCCCAAAGGAAAAGTACTCAGAGGGAAGGTCCCTGGTCTCCAGATTTATTTTACATTCTCTTCCAGAGGGAACTTGAGGGCTGGGGAGTGGGCGCTGGGGAGGCAGGAGGGCAGCAAACATCAGTCTCCCCTGGAAGACATTTGGGACAGGCCAGTCCTCCAAAGCCAGCAGCCTGGGCAGCACAGCAGGAAGACGATGTGCAGAGCCCAGGCCAGGGCTTGGCAGCCTTTGGGAAGAGGGGCCTTCAGGCAAGACCTACCAGGCCTCGAAGGCTAAGAAGGTGGCTGCATCCGTCCCCCACCTGCTCCCAGGCCCCGCTGGAAGCAGGAAGGCAAAGGGGTGGCAGGCAAGCTGAAGTGAAAAGGCAAGAATCCCCTCCAGGCGGAGGCATTTGGTCTCTATTAGGTTAGGAAGCTGGTCCTGGTTAGAGGAACCCCATGGGGGTGAAGCTGGGAGCCAGTCCCTGTTAAAGGAAACACCATAGCGGGTGGGGGCAGGGGTTTGGGGGTCTGGTCTCAATAAGGCCTGGAAACAGTCTCCACTTCAAAGCAGACCTCTGTATTTGGGGAGTGGGGTGGGGGAGGAGATGAAAGGGCTGTCTGAGGAATGCCTGTGAGTTGTGTGGGTGGGGATCAGTCCAGGGGGCTCCAAGGGAAAGGCTTCTGGGGTTGTCTGCAGATGCTGGGAGCTCAGGCCCAGGGTGAGGAGGATGTGGGGGAGATCCTCTTTCCCTCCCCTATGTGCTACCGCTCCCCGACCATCCTGGCTGGGCTCTGGGTTGCCACGGAGACCGCTCACACCGGAGCTACGTAATTTCCAGGGAATGTTCCAAATTTCTGGGTCCTCCGGGAGACACCTGAAAGGGGGAAGACAGAATAGAGCATTCCTTCGCCTCTTTTTTTTTTTTAAAAAAAAACAGGAATGAAGTGGGGGAGGTTAGGGCCCTGCCCCCTGCTGACAGTGTCCAAAACTGCAGGTGGAGTTCCTTTCCCAGTGAGGTGGGTTTGCTTTTCTCATTCCTGCCCCCTAGTGGCAGAAGCTTAGATATGCAAAGCTACGTTTCCTAAATTCAATATTCCCTTTAATCAAAAAATCTGAGCAATCAACAAACATGCACAACTTTGCCCACAGCTTTGAATAGCTCCATCCTTCCCTGGGAAAGAGAGGAAGCACGGGGACAAGTCACAGACTTTAAGTCACATGGAACCTCACTGTCTAGTATGACATCTTCATTTTACAGGTGGGGAGGTAAGGCCTGAGAGAAGTCCGAGTGAGTTGCCTGAAAGCTGCTTAGGAGTACAGTCAGGACTAAACTCTTGGCCTCCTATCTGACACACCCCCAAAATACCTGAGGCATGGAGTGGAAAGGGGGAATGCTAGAAGATACAGGAATATGAAATGAAATAAAAGTTAGTCCTGATTTGGGGTAAATTGATGTTCCTGGGACTTCACTTCTAGCAGGCTGGTGTTATGGATTGAATTGTGTCCCCCAAAAATATCTGTTGTAAATCCTAACCCTTATATCTGTGGATGTAATCCCCTTTGGGAATATAATTTTCTTTGTTATGTTAATGAGGCCATATCAGTATAGAGTATTGAGCCAATCACTTCGAGATATAAAAGAGCAGATTAGGCACAGAAGCAAGGGAGTGCAGATAGGGAAGATAAGATGCCATGCCACAGGAAGATCGTCAAGGAGCTGAGGAACAGAAAAGAGACAAAGACCTTTCCGCAGAGCCAACAGAGAGGGGAAGCCTTCCCCCAGAGCCAGTGCCCTGAATTCACACTTCTAGGCTCCAAAACTGTGAGAAAATAATTTGTTTGTTAAATCCACCCCCTAGTGATATTTCTGTTATAGCACCACTAGATAACTAAGACAGCTGGTAACCTTACTTCGCTATGAAAAGCCATGTTCATCCTGGCCCCAGGCCTTGCTGATACTGTTTCCCTGCCTGGAGTGCCCCTCTTTTACACACTGCCTCTTCAAATCCTTCCCCTGCTGCTTCAAGGTGACCCAGCTCTCCGACCTCCTCTAGGGAGCCTTCCCTGACCAGCCCACACTGATGTAAACCTGTGCTGTCTAAAATGATCATCACTAGCCACATGTGGCTACTGAGTGCTTGAAATGTGCTAGTGGGACTGAGGAACTGAATGTAAAATTTTACTTCATTTTCATTAATTTAAATGTAAGACAGCCACACATGGCTACCATACTGGACAGCGCAGCTCTAAACCTTTCCTCTGAAAACCCTTGTACCTTATACCACAGAAGTACTGCTTTTTCTTCTTGCCTATATAAATCTGCAAAACTTTATTAGTTGTAAAAAATGCAAAAGCAGAACTGCAGACGGTAATATTAGAACGCAGCCAACCCCCACCCCTCAGAGCTAAGGAATGTTAACAAGTCGGCACTTAATAACCACTGGCGTGTTGGAAGCTTGGTCACCAGCGAGGTACTGGGATGCAGACCAGGAGAGGACAGACTGCCAAGTTAACCCTGTGGCCACTCCTGCCCAGGTACCCCCCAACCTTCAGGTCCCACAGCCTGCTGGGCGGGCGCTGGCTGCTTACTTCTCTGGAGACCACCCCACTCTCTGAAGCTGAGATCTGGCCAGGGCCTGCCCACTCTGGGGAAATAGATCATGTGAAGCAGAGTAGGTGGGCCACCCTGAATTAGGCCAAGGCCAACTGAGTCTTCCCTGCTTCAGATTTGCCTGAGCTGCCCTGGGGCCAACCCTGAGAAGTTGGGATATCGCCTCACTCCCCCTCCCCAGGCCTGGAGAAGCTAGCTGGGGGCAGAAGAAGAGGAGAAAGAAGAGGCTACAAAGGTGCAAGACCTGGTTCTTTCTATCGGGAGTTTAGCGTCTGCAGGAGACAGGATCCCCCCTCCCCCACAGACTGCTCTCTGGCGAGGCAGAGATGTGTGGTAAAGAGCAGAGGCTGGAGGTCAGGAATCCTTCCCTGAGTCCACAGTGACTTGCAATAACTCTGGGCCGGTGCCAGCTTCCTCCCAGGCCTTGCCCCTCTTCAGGGCATGGAGGACAGCCGGAACAGAAGTGCTGGCTTGGGGGAAGCATCCAGGGCCAGGTTTCCAGCAGCCAAGCCAGAAGCTGGGTGGGGGTGGTCAGGCCATGAACCTTTGTTGAACCGCACTGGTGGGCAGCAGCAGCCCTCCAAATCCCCCCAGGGACCCTAAAGTACCCTCCTCCAGCCTGCTTCCCAGCCCATGCCCCAGGCTCACATACCCACGAACCAGCCATCATCACACTGCTGCATGACGTCCACCCAATCCCCCTTCCACAGCTCCATCTCGTCCTCGTTCTGGGGCTGGTACTGGTACATCGCCCGGTACCTGTGGGAGACGTCATCACGGCAACCTCCCCCAGACCAGGTCTGGAGGTTCTCAACCCAAGTACTGGCACTCCTAGAAAGCTCTCTGAATTGCCAGAGTCCCTCCATGTTCCCATTAGGCCCTGGGCCAGCTCCTACAATGACTACTCTCTGCCTGGCTTCCCCAAGCCTACTCCCTGCCCTCCACGCCCTAACCACCCCAATCTCACCTCCTCTGAGCTACCAGTGCCTTCAAGTCCGTTCTACCAGTTCTCAGCCTTGGTTTCTACAGGCACTGACCTCAGGGCTGGGAACCCAATGAGGAGCCTGAGCCAAGAGGCCAAGGGGTAGGGAGGCTTGCTTTAATGCCATATGGCTGGCAGGAATGTGTCAAGCCAGGAATACCACAGACAGATGCCTTCTCACCTGTCCCTAAATCACCTGTAAGCATCTAAAGGACAAGCACTATCTAATGGGAGTTTACCAAATACGTCCTAGAGGGGAGGGGAGAATGTTGGGGCCAGTGTGCTCAGCACTGCTTGCTGGGCTCCCCCCCGACCATGCACCCTCAGATGGTACTCACGGGGTCCAGTGTATCTGAGTGGTGCTGGAAGAGGAGGCCCCCGGGGCCAGGGGATGGCTGGTGCCTTGAGGGTGGGACAGAGCTGACCCAGAGATGCGGAGACTCTGGGGTTTCACAAAAGGAAAGCAGGGTCAGAGGAGGAAGTTGACAGGGAGGAAAATTATATCAGGCCTCACACGTCACCTGCAGGAAGCATTTCTACACACTACCTCATCTTATCCTTACAAATCCCAAGGCACAGGGACGATCTGGTTTGACTAGCTCACTTCACAGAAGCTGGGAAGTTGAAGCACAGGTAGTTAAGTGACCGGATTTCCAAACGCCAGCAGGGACAAAGCCGGGGACAGGAGGAGTCCCATGCACTGGTTGTACATGACTCTGGGGACCCACAGCAGCCCCAGGTCACTGAGGCCTGAAGGCCAGGGAGGGTGTGATAGAGGTTTGCTGAGTGAATGGATCAAAGAACGAATGAGTGTCCAGAGGGTGTAAACACGCTGTCTGCGGGCTACATCAGCACTAGGAACAGTGCTATCTTTTATCCGTCAACTACTATGAACTTTTAGTTCAAACCCCCGCAACCACCCTCTGCAGTGGGAATTTTTACTCCCATTCTACAGGTGAGCAACATTCTACAGGTAAGAAACCCAAACCCAGAGAGGGAAAGTCATCTGCCCAAGGTCACACAGCAGGTGAACGGCAAACCTGTGATTCCCGGCACCACTTGCAAATCAGGACCGAGTGGCGTCTGGAGGATCAGGATGGCCTGGGCTGGCTTTGGGGTTCCACCTAGAGCTGGCTGGCTGCCCCAGGCTTCCCTGGGCTGGAGCTCAAGGACTAGAACCAACTCAAGGGATATGAGGTCCCCAAGGCCAGGTTGGGGCTGCAATGCAAGGTCCTCCCCAGTCACTCCACTCCTGTATCTCCGGGGCTGGTGGACCAGTCCCAGGAATGGGGATATGGCATGGGAGCAGGGCTCAGCACTCCATACTGAGGCAGGCCACCTTACCTGGGTCTGGGGTCTTGGCTCCTGGGTGGGGAAAGAGAAGCCGGTGCGGTGGGGGGAGGTCTGGCCTCCCCAGTCAGTGGGGTCAGCTGGTCTGCGTGGGGCAGAGGAGAAGCTGGGGTTACTGGCCAGGCGGGCAGCGGCAGTCAGGCGAGGGGATCCAGGGAGCTGGGGGCCGTCGTCACAGATCCGGACCCTGGGCTCACGGCACACATGGACGTAGGTGGCGGGGAAGATGCCCTGGCGCCCGGTGCCCGAGATGCGGCCCTCGTACCAGTTCTCGTTCACCTTTCGGATCAGGCAGATACGCTCCCCCTGGGGATGGGGAGAAAGGAGTTCACGTCTGCAGTGCCTACATGGGCACCATGCACCCTGAGGATTATTTAAGCCTAACATCTTGCACATGAGCTCTTTCCACAACAGGCTGGGTTTGGATCAAGTCCTGCCTCTTCTGGGAAGCCTACCCTGCATGCATCCCCTCCCTGGTTCACAGCACTCTCCCTCCCCAGAGCTCCAATGACAGAGGATCCTGGTGGTTAACAGCACAGTCCAAACCCAGTTCTACCAATTCCTAGCTGTGTGGCCTTGAACAAGTTACTTTGCCTCTCTGAGTCTTGGTTTCCTCACATGTTAAGAACCATTCCCAAAGAGTCGATTCTGACTCATGGCGACCCCATGTGTTTCAAAGGAGAACTGCTCTCCATAGGGTTTTCAATCACTGTAATCTTACAGAAGCAGATCGCCAGGCCTTTCTTCCATAGTTAGTAGCCAAGTGCAAACCATTTGTGCCACCCAGGGCACCTTCACACGTTAAGAGGGGATACCAACATTATTGCTGTAAGGAATAAACAAGATCAATGGTACACACGTAAGAAGCATTGGACACGTGATAGTCATCACTACCATGACAGTGTCCTGTCTCTGCCTCACACACTGGGTGATCCTGTCACCAGTGCATCGAAATATCAGCACCCTGAGGGCAGGTACTGGGTCCTTAAGCACACACGCTGACTGACGTCAGGGGAAGAATCACCACCACCTCGGTGGGGCTGTCCTGGGGAGGATGGTTTCCAGCCCTTGCTGTCCCCTGTCTTCTCCTGCCCCTACTCCCTGCCACCTCCATCCAGCCACCTCCTTTCCTCTCTCCCTGGAACCAGCTCTTCCAGATGTCACTCACTGGGGACACTCATGGCCTGAACCCCCAAAAATAAAACAAAGGGAAACAAATTCCATGCTTTCTAGGACATTTTTCAAACTGTTTTGAACACAATCTATAGTAAAAAAATGTTTTAATAACAATCCAGTACACACATACATATGTATATACGTACTACCAAGTTTCATAAAATATCCTTTCTACATGCAGTGCATTCTAATATTTGTTCTTTTCTTTTAAAACGCTGATTATGATCCTCACAACCTACTAAACCACAGTTGAAAAAAACACAACTCTAAAAGGTTGTAATAAACTTTTTAAAAGAGGCTAAATTAAAAGAAGTATATTTGAAGAGATTGGGAAAATATCTGAAATACTAGGTAACAATGGGTACATCTGCCTCTTTTAAAAATGTTTTTAATGTACATATTTAACCATGTCTCTGCCTGCCCCCACCCTGCCCCACCACTTCCTGCCTGGCCTAGCCCCACCTTGCGGAAGGACAACTCCACGTCCAGATCCCCCTTGAAGTTGTACTGGGCCAGGGCTTCTCCATATTCCAGCACCTGGTAGGTCGGCGGCTTGATGGGCTTGGGGATCTCATCTGCAGGCAACACCTGCAGGAAGAAAGGTCATGAGTCAGGCTGCCCCTTAGCCTGAGTGTCAACTAGGTACAGACTTGTGGCTCCTGGGAGGAGGGTCCGGCAACAAAGTGAAGATGAAAAACAAAAGAAGAAAAAGAGAAGGGGGCACGTGCAAGATCTAACCCCAGACCAGATACATGAGAGACATAGACACCAGACACAAGCCCTGGGAGCGGCCAGGGGTGAACAAAGCCAACGAGGTGGTCAGTCCAAGAAGGCGCCCTGGAGGAAGAATTTTCAATAGAGGTATGCGGGGCGAGCATTACTGGAGCGGGACAAGCAAGTACAAAGACTTGAAGGTGGAAGCAAGCCAGCTGGAGACTTTAAATTGGACCACAAAAGGAAATAAGGAGTTCCAAGTAGCATTTGGCAACCTGTTCTAAAGCTGAGGATTTAACATTTTACCACTGCTGAGAACCAAGTGTTCCCCTTCCTCCTCCCCTTTTACTCCACCAGGTGCTCTGCATACTCTCCACATCACCCCAACCCACAAAGATCAAGAAGTCGATACGCTATTTGACACTAAGATGTAAATGACTAATAAAGTAGAATACTGCACATACTTTGTAGAATTTCAAGATTAGAGAGATTGTCCTGAGGGTATGGGAGGCCTACTGATGCCTTTCAAATCAAGAACATGAATTAGTAACAACCCAATCCATGGGTCAAAGAGGAAGTCACAAAAAATTAGAAAATATTTTGAACTGCATGAAAATACAATATATCAAAATTTGGAATGCAGCTAAAGCAGTGCCTAGAGGAAAATTTATAGCATTAAAATGCTCACATTAGACAAAAAGAAAAGTTTCAAATTAATAATCTAAGAACCTTAAGGAACTAGAATAAGAAGAGCAAAGTAAATCTAAAGGAAGCAGAAGGACGAAAATGATAAAGAGCAGAAATCAACAAATTGAAAACAGAAAAACAGTAGAGAAAAATCAATTAAATCAAAAGCTGGTTCTTTGAAAACGATAAAATTCTAGTCAAAATAAAACAGAAATTATCAATACCAGGAATGAAAGAGAGGACATCACTATAGATCTTACTGATGTTAAAAGGATAATAAGGGAATATTATCAAATAAATAAATCTGATAACTTGAAATTCCTTAAAAGACACAAATATCGAATATAACTTGAATAGTCGTATGTCTATCAAATCCAGAACCTGGCTTTGGGAGTTGAAAGACCTAGATTAGGATTCTGGATCTTATATTTAATAACTTGTTTCTGAACCTTAGCAAAGTGGGGATAACATATCGCTTCCCAGATTAATGAGAGGAAAAAGGGGGTTAACACACAAACAAGATTATGCATGTATATGTGATTCGTCCCTGGGTGGTGCAAACAGTTAACACCACCTGCTGTTAACCAAATGGTTGGCAGTTTGAGTCCACCCAGAGGTACCTCAGAAGAAAGGCCTGGTGATCTACTTCTAAAAAATCAGCCACTGAAAACCCTATGGAGCACAGTTCTACTCTGACACACATGGGATCACCATGAGTCATAACCAACTCAACAGCAACTGGTTTTTGTCTAGTTTTGTTTTTTTAAGAAGGCCTGCGCTGGCTTTTACCTGCAGCATCTCCTCCCTCCCCCCTCCCAGATCTGTCCCTTCTTCCCCTCCTCTCCTTCCCTATCTCTTTCTCCTTCCTCAGAGGAGTACTTCACAGCAACTAATTATGTGATTTATAAATGGTCAACCACTTGGCACTCTTGGCAGCTGCAATTACAATTATTCTCAGGGTGGCTTTAGAGAGATGATCTGAGTGCTGAAAGTCCGTGACACTGACTGGGGGTAGTAGTCTGTGGTCCAGGAGCCTGGGCTGTTTGGTTCTCCCCAGGGCTGAGCCCCACCTTCAACCCTCATTTCACAAACATTTCCTAGGTGCCATTTCCTGCATGCAATGTACTGGGCCAGGCCCTCTGGGGCCAAGGGCATTAATGATATGTGGTCCCTGCCCCATGAGCTCACAGTTTCACATCTTAGGAAACAGCGAGAAATGAGGTATCAGTCAGCCCCAGCAAAGGGCCAGGGATAAAGGGGTCTGTACTCCAAGCTTCTTCCAGCCCATCCACCCTCCTGCCCTGGTTCCTGCTTGCTCCCCTCCCTCCCTGCTCACCTCCACGTAATTAGCAGGGAAGATGCCCAGCCGGCCATGGTGCTCCCCTTCCAGCCAGTTCTTGTCCACCTCCTTATGGATGTAGACAATGTCACCCTTCTGCAGAGTCAGCTCCCTGCAAACCAGAGCAAGAACATCAGGGCAAGTTGAAGTCTCCAGATTCTCCTTCCCTTCAGACCCTGTCCAATATACCCCGAGTCCCCTCCACCCCTCTGAGGATGTCCACTACAGCCCTATCTCCCCACTCCCCTCCACCCTGCCCCCCATGCAGGGGTCTGAAGCCACAGAGGCTCTGCCCTGGGTGGAAGAGGAAGGGAAAGAAGGGACACTTACTTTGGGGACTGTGCCTGGAAGTCAAACTTGAGCCTGGCAGCCTTCATCTGGGCAGGGAGAGAGAATGGGGGTGGGGGCGGGGGGGAGATGGTTACCTCAGTCAGATAGGTGGCAGGGCGAGAACAGAAACCCCAGGACCCACTCTAGGCCCTCCCTGAACCCTGACCCCAGAGTCCCTCCCTTACCTTCTTCTCTTCCTTTCTGGCTGGGCTGCCCCCTGGCTCAGAGGCACTCCGGTCTGTGGAGAAGCACTACCTCAGCTTGGAAACCGGGGGTGGGGGGTGTGGGGGGGCCATGGCACCACCCCCCTACTACAGGCACCAGTGAAGGCAGGGGTTCTCCGACCTTTCTGCCACCCCCCGGGACCAGCATATCTGCTGGGTGGGCGTCTGGGCAAGACAGCGTAGGATGTGGTCCTTACCTCGGGTTGGGGAAGGGTAGACAAAATCCCTACGACCCAGGAAGGGGCTTCCTCCATCCGCCATTCTGTGGGGGCTCAGGGATCGGGAGGGACCCAGGTAAAGTGCATGCGGGGAGCTGGAGCTCCAGGCTGAGGCCGGGCTGCGAGGGGACACCGTGAGTGAGCCACCTGTCTAGAGCTTCACACCCTACCCGGCTCACCACTAGACCTCCCTGGTTCCCCAAATGTCTCCCAACCCCGCTGCCGCCACCACCGCCTCCCAAGGAGTGTCTCAGGTCCTGGGCTCTCAGAAGGATGTCCTACTTCCCGTGCAGCCAGGGCCAGGAAAGGGTGAGGCCTTGGACAGGGAGAGGCCGGAGAAGACCAAGTCCGCGGAGTGCGCGTGCCAAGTGGTGGCTCCCCGCACGGCGCTCCGCCGCCAGTGGCGACCGAAATTCTCGGGCTTGAGGCAAGTCCGCCTCTGTGGGCTAGGGGACGGCCCCCTTGCAGACAGCGGCGGCTCCGAGTCCCTCCCTCGGCCGGGCTGCGCCCTCCAGGCCACGCAACCGCTCTCCAGGCCCCTCCTCTCCGCTGTCCCGCGGCTCGCCCGCCCACGGCGCGCCCGGTTCGGGTGGATCGTCCCGCCCCGCGCCACGTCCCTCCGCCCGCCTCCGACAGCGCCCCCCATCCGGCCCGCGTCTCCAGCCACTCACCGGGCCGGGGGTCGCTGCTCTGGGGACAGTCGGGGCGCCTGGGAGCTCTGTGCAGGGAGGCGTGGCCGTTCAGTGCCGGGACCCGGGGGTCCCAGCGCCAGCAAGGCCCGCCGCCTCCGGAAAAGTTTGTAGCTTGGCAGGCAAGGAGGGCTGGGGAGGGGCGGGAGGGACGCGGGGTCCTAGAGTCTCCCGCGCGCAGCGGGACGGGACCGCCAAGGAGCCCAGGAGCGGGGAAGGGAAGCTAGGGTGGCGGAAGAGGGAGGAAAGCGACTGGAGAAGGAGAGGCCCGGGAAACTCGAGACTTTTAGGGGTTGGGGGTCCCTGAGGGCCGAGGTTCAGGGGGCGGGGCGGGGCGAGGCTCGGTGGGGGGAGCCGTGGCACCCGGACGTCAGGCTGACGTGGAGTCGGCCTGGAAAGGTTCTCAGGGGTCACTTGGGAAAGTCAACGCCCTGTATTTTATGGAAGAGTGAAGAGATCGGGATGAAGTTTGCTTTGCCCAGGGTCACAGCCTGTGTGTGGCTTGAGGCGATACCTCTTGACTGCCTGCCCTCCCACCAAAGCCCTTGGACAGGGAGAAGCCAGATTGTCCAGCGTTGCAGGCTCGAGATTCCAGCTCCGGGAGCCTGCTGGCGTCTCCCAGAGTGGGATTGGGAGGCCGGTACCTTGGGGGATGGCAGCCGGGTCTCAATTGCCCGCAGGTCCTTGTCCAGCTCCGCGCTCAGCTTGGCTAACTCTCTCTCAAGCAGGACCTGAG